CCTGAGACGGGCGTGAAGAGGCTCACAACTGTAGCAGATGACAGTGTGCCAGAGACTGCTCTCAGCACTGTACCAGCATGATTTAACTCAATATTCTTAACAACAACAGCCCTTTGCAGAAGAGGAAACTGAGGTGCAGAGAGCTTAAGGAACTTGACGAGGACACACAAGCGATAAATGAAGACCCAGAATTGGCAGCAAGGTGGTAAATTCATACTCTTGATTGACCTGTTTTGCAATCTCAGTAGGTCCAGACCATTTAAAAAGTCACGTGGGATTAAGGGGTGTCCATATAGGAATGTCAAAATGGCATATAGAAACCACCAGGAGCTGGTTTTCCAGTACTCAGGCCCTGGGTTATTGCCTGCTGTCACTAGTTCTCAGGGCTCAGTCTTCCCTGAGGTTCCAGCAGGCAAGAACTAGGTTTCTACCCTGTTTTCCTAGCACTTAAGAGCATCTGCTACATAGTAGGTGCTCGCTAACTAGCTGCTGAAAGAATAAACGTGGTTAGAGCTGGGCTCTGCACCTTACAAAGGATTTGGTAATATAAAGAATGGTTAATGAAAACACAAATATATGAGGGGTTGGAATAAAATGTAGTCTGATTCTTCCTTTTTTGTTTTTTAATCTGGAGAAAAGAAGGCTGGGGAAATACAGGAATGTTTGTACCTTCAGAGGTGGTTATAGTTTTGGCCCCATTTAACAAATGCTCTCCAGCACCCACCACCTGTCAGGCACCCTCTGTGCCCTAGGGGAGCAGTGGGGAGTGAGACCAAGGCTGCCCCTCGAGGAGCTGGCTCACTAGTGCCATCTCCGCCTTTGCCCACCTTGCCCTTGACACAGTGGAGGCTGTAGGGTTCAGGCTCTTCCTTGCCCTGGAAAGTAGAAGGACACACAAGCGATAAATGAAGACCCAGAATTGGCAGCAAGGTGGTAAATTCATACTCTTGATTGACCTGTTTTGCAATCTCAGTAGGTCCAGACCATTTAAAAAGTCACGTGGGATTAAGGGGTGTCCATATAGGAATGTCAAAATGGCATATAGAAACCACCAGGAGGTGGTTTTCCAATACTCAGGCCCTGGGTTATTGCTTGCTGTCACTACTTCTCAGGGCTCAGTCTTCCCTGAGGTTCCAGCAGGCAAGAACTAGGTTTCTACCCTGTTTTCCTAGCACTTAAGAGCATCTGCTACATAGTAGGTGCTCGCTAACTAGCTGCTGAAAGAATAAACGTGGTTAGAGCTGGGCTCTGCACCTTACAAAGGATTTGGTAATATAAAGAATGGTTAATGAAAACACAAATATATGAGGGGTTGGAATAAAATGTAGTCTGATTCTTCCTTTTTTGTTTTTTTAATCTGGAGAAAAGAAGGCTGGGGAAATATAGGAATGTTTGTACCTTCAGAGGTGGTTATAGTTTTGGCCCCATTTAACAAATGCTCTCCAGCACCCACCACCTGTCAGGCACCCTCTGTGCCCTAGGGGAGCAGTGGGGAGTGAGACCAAGGCTGCCCCTCGAGGAGCTGGCTCACTAGTGCCATCTCCGCCTTTGCCCACCTTACCCTTGACACAGTGGAGGCTGTAGGGTTCAGGCCTTTCCTTGCCCTGGAAAGTAGAGAACAGTGGGAGGTGACACCAGGACCAGGTGTACAGCTCCTTAAGGTCCTTGAAACCAGGAGACTCAGAGAGGAGAGAAACAGCTCGTGTCTGCATCAGAGGAAAACAGCTCATGTTCTGTGGGCTGCTTTTAGGGCTGCTGGAGCCTGGGGGAAGGGAGGGGTGCGGGAAGGGGAGGCTCCGTGAGAGGTTTAAGATTCTTCCTGCACTTGCACTAGAACAGCTCTGCGTTGTTCTGTGTATTGGGTCCACAGATGATTTATCTTGTTCAAAAAAAAAAAAAAAAAAAACGAAGAAGAAAATAATGACCCTACTCCATCAAACGGACAGGCAACACAAATGGTTCGAAAAGTACTGGTTTAGGGTTTTGCCTGTGTCGTCCTTCCCTCATGAATCTGTCGGGAATAGAGAGGCCAGGAAATGCCCTCCTCCAGGGACCCGCAGGGAGGCTCCATGTGAAGTCTCCTGCTGTGTGGCTTTCCAGAAAGAAAACATTGGCTGACGCAAGTGTGCCTGCATCAGCCTCTCTCTCTCTGGGTTACAGGGAAGGTACCGCGTTTGTCTGGTGAGCACTAGGACCCCAGGAGGCCTGGGCTTCCAGAAGGAGGAGAGTCAGTGTATTCATGAAGACAGTGGATCTAGAATAAGGGCAAGTGTGTCCCAAAGGCGCTACCTGCACGAGACGGCTGCTGAGGTGTGGGAGAGGAGGCCAGCCGATGGGACTTCTCTTGGTCCCTTCAAGCTGCTCTGATGAAATGCCATAAGCTGGGTGGCTAATAAACAGAAGTTTGCAGTCGTCCCCTCTTGTCCTCGGGGGCTACATTCCAAGACCCTCAGTGGATGCCTGAAACCGTAATAGTGCCGAGACCTATATAAACTGTTCTTTCCTACATGTACATACCTATGATAAAGTTTAATTCATACATTAAATTAAATCTTAGTTATAAATTAAATTTACAAATTAGGCACACAGTAAGTGATAACAAAAACTAATAATAAAATAGAACAATTCTAACAATATACTGTGATACAAATTGTATGAATGCGGTCTCTCTGTCTCTCTCAAAATATCTTACTTTTTGAAATACCCTCATACAGCATGGATATGCTGGGAAAGGGACAATTCATGTCCCAGGCGGGACAGACTGGGACAGAGGGAGATTCCATCACACTACACAGAACAGTGTGCTCTTTAAAACTTATGGGTTGTTTATTTCCAGAATTTTTCATTTAACATTTTTGGACTGTGGCTGACCTTGGCTAACTGAAAGCACAGACATGGGGCAATTACCATATTTCTCACAATTCTGGAGGCTGGTAGTCCAAGATCAAGGCACTGGAAAATTTGGTGTGTGCTGAGGGCCTGCTTCCTTGTGCACAGATGCTGTGTTGTCACATGGTGGAAGGGACAAGGGACTCCCCTCCAGCCTCTTTTCTGCGGGTACTAATGCCATTCATGAGGGGTCCACTCTCATGACTTTTTTCACCTCACAGAAGCTCCACCTTTAAATAAGCACCTTGAGGGTTAGAATTTCAATATATGAATTTTGGAGAGACACAACATTCTGACCATTACAGGGTCAGTATTTAGGCTCTGCATTTCTAGGCTGATAAAGAGACAGAGAAATGTGGTGGAAAGTAATAGGCTCAGAGGCAGAAAAGTTTGAGTTCAAATCCTCATTTCATTATGTAATAGCCAAGAGGATGCTGACATTTGAAAACTTTTTTGTAGGCACTTTCCCCCTGTCTGAATTGGGAATGTCACATGGTATTAGCTGAATGTACAAGTAGAAGCATCTTGCACAGGCTCAGAACATTTTAGTTGAAATTATTTTATTCTCACAATTCCGGAGGCTGGTAGTCCAAGATCAAGGCACTGGAAAATTTGGTGTCTGCTGAGGGCCTGCTTCCTTGTACACAGACGCTGTGTTGTCACATGGTGGAAGGGACCAGGGACTCCCCTCCAGCCTCTTTTCTGTGGGCACTAATGCCATTCATGAGGGGTCCACTCTCATGAGTTTTTCACCTCACAAAAGCTCCACCTTTAAATAAGCACCTTGAGGGTTAGAATTTCAATATATGAATTTTGGGGAGACACAAACATTCTGACCATTACAGGGTCTGTATTTAGGCTCTGCATTTGTAGGTTGATAAAGAGACAGAGAAATGTGGTGGAAAATAATAGGCTCAGAAGCAGAAAAGTTTGAGTTCAAATCCTCATTTCATTGTTTAATAGCCAAGAGGATGCTGACATTTGAAAACTTTTTTCTAGGCACTTTCCCCCTGTATGAATTGGGAATGTCATATGGTGTTAGCTGAACGTATAAGTAGAAGCATCTTGCACAGGCTTAGAACATTTTAGTTGAAGTTATTTTAAAAGAAGACAAACAAAGTTTTGTAAAAAAAAAAAAGTCATTCCTGGAGGGACAGACTCCTGGCTTCCAGATGGGAAGACATAAGACTGGACGTGCGAAACTGGTGTGCAGAGAGGAGCTCAATGCCAAGTGTGTTGAGGAGGGGGCAGAACACATCTGGGAAAGCTTGCCTGAATGCAGGGGGTTCTCTGAGGAGCACAGAAGGATTTATGTGGGAGTCGCTAAGCCAAGGAGGCAGACGGGAGAGGACTGAGCTCTGTTGCAGCGTAGGGCCTCAAACCAGGTGTTGCAGGAAACCTCTCTCCAGCCGCCAGCGACACCAGGCCCGCAGGAGGCTCTGCTTGGGTGAGCGATGGGCTGGGGTTCCGCAGGTTCTTCCTGAAGATGGCAGGAGAGGAGTGATTGAGGGTTCTGGGAGAGCTGCTGGTTCCAGCTAACAAGATAACGAAGTGAGGAGTGTAGTAAAGCAATGAAGGAGAGGAAGAAGGAAGCCCACGATAAATCCGCCTTTCACCTGCAGTGCAGACAGGCAAACGCTCCTTCTCAACGCTAAAGGCGATTCTCTCCCTTTCAGGTTTTCATGGTCATTGAAAGTGACACTACGTTGGCATTTTCCTTCTCACTTTGCACCCTTTACTCCTGACTTCCTGACCTTTCCTAGGGGACCTGTCCAGCTCACTTTCATGTCCATGTTCATGGGTGTGGGAGATCACGTGCAAGACCAGCTGGTGCTGGTTTCTCTCTGCAAATGCTGCAGGGAGACCCTCCCTGAGGCCAGGCTCAGCCCTTATCCCTGGTGTGCTCATTGCCACATGCCACAGTCCCTAGTCTTCCCTTCTTATTCTCTCCTTGTGCTTTTCTTCTCTTCACTTCTGCGTGCCTTCTGTAAGTACTTATAATTCAGCTTCTGCTGTAGCAATGAGTTTACATTGTTTTATTTGCCTTACATGTCACGGAGATATAAATATTCTTTATATCATACTGACAAGTTACCTAAGATTTATAGGGTTTTGTTTGGATTACAGTCAGTCTGAAAGTAACACAAAACTCCAAATAACAGCTATTATAAAAATAAGAAGAAAATTTATTTCTTTCTCATTTTTGATTGAGTTTGGAAGCAAGCAGTCCAGAGGTGGTTTCACGGCCCCCCAGACTGATAGGGATTCAGGCTGCACTATCCCTGCAGTGGCCGTCATCCACATGGGTCTATGAGGGCAGCTCGATATTGCTCCACCCTTTGCATATAAATTCCAGGCAGCAGAATGAAGAAACGGATCTAGATCATGGATGTGGGAGATCACGTGCAAGAGCAGCTGGTGCTGGTTTCTCTCTGCAAATGCTGCAGGGAGGCCCTCCCCGAGGCCAGGCTCAGCCCTTATCCCTGGTGTGCTCATTGCCACACGCCACAGTCCCTAGTCTTCCCTTCTTATTCTCTCCTTGTGCTTTTCTTCTCTTCACTTCTGCGTGCCTTCTGTAAGTACTTATAATTCAGCTTCTGCTGTAGCAATGAGTTTACATTGTTTTATTTGCCTTACATGTCACGGAGATATAAATATTCTTTATATCATACTGACAAGATACCTAAGATTTAAAGGGTTTAGTTTGGATTACAGTCAGCCTGAAAGTAACACAAAACTCCAAATAACAGCTATTATAAAAATAAGAAGAAAATTTATTTCTTTCTCATTTTTGATAGAGCTTGGAAGCAAGCAGTCCAGAGGTGGTATCACGGCCCCCCAGACTGATAGGGATTCAGGCTGCACTATCCCTGCAGTGGCCGTCATCCACATGGGTCTATGAGGGCAGCTCGATATTGCTCCACCCTTTGCATATAAATTCCAGGCAGCAGAATGAAGAAACGGATCTAGAAAGGGCAGTAGCCCACACAGCTGCCACTTTCACCTCAACAGCTGGAGTGTGCTCATATGGCCACACTCAGCTTCGAGGATGACTGGAAAATGTTTTCTTTATTCCAAGAGGTCATGTTCAAGCTAAAAACTGGTATACTATTGTTAGAAAAGAAGTGGATGACAGATATTGAGGATGCCTAGGGTCACAGACCAGAAAGGGGAAGGACTTAAACCTATGTGTTTGATTTAAGGTCCAATGTTCTGTCCAGTACATGGGGGTATCCCAAAGTGACACGGCTGGCACTAGCAGAACCCTAACTAAAAGATCAGATATGCTTTCTGCCCCGGAGGATTGTTCAATCTTTCAGAAATCTAACTATAAAATACATAATAAATGTTAAACAGTGTTTGAGCATCCAGAAATCAGAAGAAAGGAGTATTTCCACGTGGGCTGGAGCTGCTAAGGAAGTTTTCATGCATGGAAGTTTGAGGCCCACTCTGAGGACTGGCTTGTTTTGTATACAGAGAATGGTTTCTTTGAGCTTATTAAGGAGGTTTGTTTCTTATCTTGGAAGAGCAAGTGATCCTCACATGAACTGCTGCTCAACTCATGTCTGAGCTAAAAGGAAATAAAATAACAAAACAAGCCTTTCCTTCTGCACAGATATACTGAGAAAACCATTAACTGCAATGACAGTACCTATCCACAGACACCGCCTGTGGTAACGGCAGCGGCTGACATCTCACGGGCACTCGCGTGTCCTGAGCCATCTGCATGTATCAACACTTATTCTTCCACAGCCTTATGGGGCAGGACTTATGATACTTCTACTTTGCAGTCAAGGAAACTGATACGTGGAGAGATTTAGTAACCTGCCCAGATTGGGTATGTGATAAGCAAGCGCTCTGACTCCAGAATCTGCATTCTTTGCCATGAAGTTATACACATTACCCTGCAGCAGCCCTTGTCTTTGGGAGCCTGTTCCTTTAAAGCTGCAGACTAAGAGTTGTTCAAACCATAAGGGAAGTAGTTCCAGGGAGACCAGAGAGTTGTACTTATCGAGGATGAGGGTAAAGCCCAGTAGTAAGAGTTCCTTTGCTATTTGTTTGCTTTATTATGGACAGAGTTATTGTGTCCAGGCTTTTTACCTACCTCTTCTGATTCTAAAAATGAAAATGAGAAGGGTGGGGCTCAGAGATTTGGGTGAGTCTTTGGACCTTCCTTGGCCTTTGTTTCAGCATTTTGGTGTTTTCTGGAGTTTCCAGTGCAGTTCTACAAAGCTGTGCTGCACGGCTCTAATACTTAAGCCCTTCCTGATCTGCTTTCTCCCATTTGAAAATCCTGTTTTCAGAACTCTAAAACACAGAGCCATGACTAGCTCAGGACAACAGCAACAATTCCATTGTGCACCTGCATAGCTCCAGATGCTGCTCTATAGCTCTCAAATCAATCATGCTCAAGGCACCCCACTCACAGTAAAGCCTGCACTCCCACCTCCTTGAGCCACCCTGTAGGGACGGTGTATGCCCATTCAACAAGCATTTGTTAAACACCTACTATGTGCCACACATTGCATTGTGGCTGGAGACACAAAGGCAAATAAGATATAGGCCTCAGGCAGCTCAGTCAGGGTAGAGATGCTTAACATGAGGTTCATGAATGGTGTTCAGTGAATCTGTAAACACCCTAAAACGGTATGTGGTATTCTGTATATCTGCCAAGATGTTTACATTTTTCCCTAGGGACAAATTTCATATTTTTCATCAAATTCTGTAAGGCACTTTGTCATCCAGAAAAGATGAAGAATCACTGACAATGTGGTCAAGACAGGAATGTAAACAAATGATCAGAACACAGGGCCAGAAGTTCTAGGGCAGAGACATGAGTAAATAGCCATAAGAAAGCAGCGCTGGGCAAGGGATATTTTTCACCTGGGGATTGAGGTAGATCAGCGCTCCCTTAGCATTTGATGTCATCTGGGAATAAGTGAATAAGTAGGATTTTCCAGGAGGGAAGGCAAGGAGAAAAGCATTCCAGGGTGCGAATTCAGAGGCCCAGCAGATCTAAACTCTCCTGTAGTGTAGAATATATACCTGGGTTTTGATAGTGAGAAAATAGGTTGTGAAGATTTGGGCACTGAGAGTAAAGAGGGGTGCTGATTCTTGAAAATCAGTGCCTGGGATTTCTTGGCTGCCAGTGCCAGTGGTGGCCAGGCACTGGCAGAGGAGAGTCCCCAACATGCCTGTAACAATGAGCAGCAGGAACTTGACATTGGCAGACAGACCGTCTGACCCTCAGAGAAGGTCAACTTCACATTTCAGCTTCCTCTTCCTGAAAACTGAGCTTGATATTTGATAAATAAATCATGCAATCTTCCCTTCACAGGCTTGATATTTGATAAATAAATCATGCAATCTTCCCTTCACACCCTGCCCCTAATAAAAACATTCACTGTTACCACCACTTCACAACTGGCCATGGTGGGCCCCTGACAATCAATTACCCACCGGAGATGAAATTATTGTTTAATGGCTCTTGGAATGGGCTCCCACTCTGACATTCATCACAATCAATAATGCATCCGCAGGGACAAAAGAAATTACCTGCCTCCTGCTAAGTGAAAAAGTCCATTTATATGCAGCACGGCCCCTTCACGCCTCCTGCGCAGGCCACCACAGGTGAGTTTCCACGGTACAGAGCTCCTCGCTTGGGGAGGCGGTGAGTGGGCTCTTGGGTGGAAGGGAGGGCGCGTGTTGCTACCATTCCCGCTCTGCTCTTGGGCAGGTCCTGCGGGTGGGCTAGAGCTGGGTGGTGGATGAGCATGGATGGCTGATCAGATTTGAATGAGTCGGTCACACTGTCCCTTACTATGCTTTTTCACTGCACATGGCATCTCTCTGGTTTTCTCCAGAGATGGACAGAAAACAATTTCCTTAATAGATATTCTGTGGATCACTGTGTTTGGCTTCTGGTGAATCCTGGCTCTGCCACTTCCTGGCAGAATGAACTTAAGTGAATTTTTCACCTCTTAGATCTGAGTTTCCTCATCCTTAAAATGGGCGTAATAACACTGACCTTGGAGGATTGTTCTGAGAATCAAATGAAAGATCATACACAACACACGTAATAGGCATTTCCTCCCCTTCCAACCCATATTTGGGAAAATATTGTCGAAATACTGTGATTCATCCTGATGTCACTGATGGGTGAGATTAATTTAAGTAAGGAAAGGTCAAGTGAGGAATCACATATAAATTTTAAGTCCCCAAATCTTAGAAAGCTTCCATGCTATTTCAATCTTAATCAGCAAATAGCACGGAGATACCAGTTCTACCATTAGGTCAGCTCAGAGCCATTTTAACCAAACCAGAACTCAAGACAAAAGGTCTTCTCGCTTTCCATCCATCCATTCATCCACCTATCCATTTATCCATCCATCCATCTATTGACCTATTGGATTTTTATTGGCTTTTGACTACTGACCAGGTACTATGCTAGGCTCTGGGGATATACAGATAAAAATACACTGTTCTCTCTTTCTGTATTTCTCATAACTTAGAGTATCATAGAGAAAAAGAGTTCTGAGTAGACAGCTGTAGCCTGAACAGTGCAGTGAGTACAAAGTCGCCTTGGCTAGGTGTGGCAGGCTCCAGTGAGAAGGTGACATGTGACCTCACTCTATAGGAGGGACGGGAGCTTGCCAGTGCACAAGGGAAGGAGGCCTCCAGGAAGAGGGCAGTCTTACTGTTACCTGATCATGATCTCCCCAGTCAGTTTCTCACTGACCCCCCAATTCCAATATTTTGTGCCATGCTCATTTTATAGATGGGTAAACTAATCCAAGGGAAGCCAGAAATCATAGAGAGTTTGGAGATAGAGCTGCAACTGGAATTCCCTTGTCCTGATTCCCCCCTGGGTTGTTTTTTTTTTTTTTTTTCTATTTATTATTTTTCTTAGAAGTTATTTGTGAAGTAACAATTTTACTGCATAAAGTTATTTTTTCTGCTTCATTGACGTATAATTGACAAAAGATCCCACATTTACAATGATGTGTTTCTGTATTTGTCTTTCTCT